AACCCTGTTTTGTGTCTATATTGCATATTTTAGATATCCTGCAGCTGTGTCAGGGGAAGGTTAGGCTGGATCTCAGGGAAAGGTTCTTCCCCCAGAGGGAGGTTGGCACTGAACAGGCTCCCCAGGGCAGTGGGCACAGCCCCAAGGCTGCCAGAGCTCAAGGAGAGTTTGGACAACACCCTCAGGGATTGGGTGGGATTGTTGGGTGTCCTGTGAAAAGCCAGGAGTTGGACTGGATGATCCTTGTGGATCCCTCCCAGTTCAGGATATTCTACGATTCTGAGGTATCTCTTTCTGTTCACACGGTTTGCTCTGAATAGCAGGGGAGTTTATAGGGAGAAGGGAGAAAGAAACTGCCCTAAAACTATGAAAAGCCTAAGCAAAGCCTCCCCTGCAGTGCCTGCCCAGGGCAGTAGAAGGAACCCCCTCAGTTGCCGACACAGTTGCAGTGGGAAGGGCACGGGGCCTCCACAGAAGCTGGCACGGGCTCCTTGGGAGAAGTTGCTTAGTTTTTGAGCTGTGTCTAAAGTTCATGTCCAGCTGTCTTAGATTCTTTGCCAGATCCAGGCCACGACCGGACACAAAAACAGGACCGTGCCCGTGGTCGTTTCCCCAGGGCAGCACAGGTACCTGCAGCCATCGCCTCCTGGGCTGGGCCTGCTGTCCCTGCTCAGCCTGGCACTGCTGATGGAGCTCTCCATGGCACATCATCCTCTTCCCTGCTCTCCATTCTCCTGCAGGCCTTTCTGAAATTCCTGGACATTCAGCGTAGAAAGACCAGGACCTCACCAGCTGAGGCCATGGCACAGGCTGACACCAGGCTGACTAAGATGAAGGCAAAGCCTGATGTCGGCACTGCACCAATTGATCGTAAAAGCAAGTCTGTCCCTGCGTTGAATAATCACACAAGAAACTCTGACACCACACGGAATGATCAAAGAATGAAGTCTGACACTGATAAGACTGATGACACAACAAGCACTGACACCCCATCGATTGATGGCATGGCAATCTCTGACGCCGTGTTGACCGATGAAGCCACAAACTCTGACACTGCACTGCCTCATCTCACTGCGGAGGTTGCCACTACAACAACAACTGTCAGCACTGACTCCACGCCCAGTGACAGTCCGATTGATTCTCCCATTTGGGATTTTTTTGGGGAGAATGGTGTCGCCAGTCCAAAGCAAGTAAGCAGCCTGTGGCCAGGGCTCAAGCCACCCTAGGTTGGTGTGGCCCCTCAAGCCGGCTCCCCTGGGCCCACTCAGCCTTTGAGGCCAGCACAGTCTGGTGGAAAGGGCAGCATTTCTGGGGGAAACCTGGCAATTGGCTTCCTCTGGCAGTTCTCCCACTCTTCCCCATTCCCGCCCTCCCACTCTCCCCCATTCCCCCTTCTGGGACTTGGTGACCCAGAGCACAAGAGCAGGATCGTGGCCATGACTGGTGGCGCTTTATAGGCCAGGTACCATCAGCCATCCCCACCTGCTCAGCGGACACCACCATTGGAGCACTTGATGGGACATCCCTCTCTTCCCTGCCTTACTTTCTCCCATAGATGTTTAGGAACTTCACAGGCACTCAACATAGACATACCCACACCACGCTGACTGGGGGCACGGGGAAGGCTGCTGTCAGCATCAGGCCAATTGACACCATGCCCCCTCAGAGCCTGGCTGATGCTCCTGGTCTGGACTCTTCTGAGGAGAAAGTTGTCTCTGCAAAAGTAAGCAGCCTGAGGCAAGGGATCATGTGGACCCTCAAGATGGGTCTGCTGGGCCCCCTCAGCCTTTGAGAACAGCACAGTGTGGTGGGAAGGGAAGCACTTCTTGGGAGAAGCTGGGCAAGTTGCTCGCTC